TCCGTCTCGAAGGCCTCAATGTTTCAAACAATAACGCAGGAATAATCCGAGCATACCAGAGAAACAGAAAAATTAGCAGAACATTGGAAGTTGAATCCAAAAAGAAAAAATAGTAAAAACTCAGGAAATGACAATATTGCCAGGAATTTCCACGGTTACAACGAGTATTGATATCTACAAATTAATCATGTTTTGGCTGAGCAAACGCAGTCAAAACTTCACGGCTATCGAAACATTCTCTGATGAAGAATCACTCGATATTCGTCGAAGATAAATGGCCATACTGGACAGATAGAAGTCCGTTATTTTTTGAAATGTGCAGCAGCGATACTCATTTCAGCACTTCTCATCTCTCCAACCTCGATTCAGTGTAGAAGAAACACATGATTTTTTTCTCAATTATTATATAATCAATGCTTCAGAAAAACCTCTGGCAAACTGGCTTATCTGTTTCAAAAACAGCAAAAATCTTCGAACTAAATTTTGTTCTGATTCTCCAAACTGCACTCGTGAAAATCATCGTTTTGTCAAAGAAAGCTATGCGCTATGCATATACACACAAACGAAACAAAATGAACTTGGGGATTAAGATCATTCTGATCCTGCTAAAGCCTAGCATTCAGCTTAAACTTCGGCAACTGGAATGTCAAACTCATAAATGGATCTCCTAGCTATTGAAGCGACTATAATTATCTGAAGATACTAAAACAGTTAGCGAAATTAAATTTCGATGCATTAATGTCAAGCTCACAAGACTATTTCCTGTACGACAAACTGACAGAAAACACCTAGTTTTGCTACAATTTCATTTGGTCAGAAAAAGCCTTCGAAAAAAATGCCTACAACCTCAACCTCTTTTGCTGGTACACATTTTTGGAAACAAGCTGTTTTTGTTGGTACGGTTTCAAATGATTTCAATGAATTGCCCACCTCAGTTTCTACCAATATTAGAAAACTTTCTTAGCCTTTAAAATGATTGCATCTACTTTGTACATTATGCAGTCCTCCAGCGCTAAATACTCAATATATACTGTCTAATCTCAATTAAATTGCTCGCTAGAGAACGTCAGTTCTTAAAAAACTCAGATAAAACGAAAAAACCAGCCAAAAAAGATAAGGATCCAGACAGAACTCAACCAGAGTCGCAGTTGCGCGAGAATTGAATCAACTACAAAGAAATTTCGCTGAAAATTAAAAAAAATATATGTACATATATTTAAATAGATATCTGCTTGTTCTCTGTACCTATGCACCTCTTCACACTGGTTTTCATTTTATTTCATTTACGCTTTTTCCCCGGCACAATTCTTTTGAAAACCACAAACTGAAGATCGGTAGCTTCTCCGACTCAATCGATAACGATGCAGTTGCCAACTAATCTCACTCACAAGGCCAACACTTTACTCCCTGGCCGGCGCAACTCAACTTAACACCAGTCCACTTCAAACAAGTACGATTGTCGAGATAAAACGGCTCGGAAATTCCATCACACCATATAGTAGCACTTTGCCATGGGACACAGCAGCATTAAACACTTTCTTATAACAGCCTTTCGGAAATATCAACCAAGTTATTCTTTAGTATCATTAACTTTTGCTATCTTTTTTTATCTTCACCTCACAATCGTTCGAAAATAATTCAGATACACATCGGCTTATTATTCATGAGGAATACCCAAAACTATTAATAATTAAACAAACTTCATTTTTTGAAACTATTATTTCATTTCTTTTACTTGGATTTCAGAAAAACTTCATGTACAAGCGGTCAAACTGAGATTGACAGATAATGCATCAATTCCATCAACGAACTGATGAACTTCCTTTGTTGGAATGCAAATTACATCCCCTTAAGGCCCTAATCGGTCAAGAAAACCCATAACTCTCTTTTGCTTCCCTTCACAATCCCTCAATTATGTCCCCTCAGGGTTTCTCAGATGTAATTATTCAGCTTGCTCCTCGGCCATTTTCCACCGAATACCATTAGTAAATATGTTCCTTAATCCTAAATTATTGTCTTGATTATTGTGTCAGTTTTGAAAATCCTAGAAATCACCCTAGAAACCAGAAAAAAACTTAATTCAAAAATCGACAAGTAACTATTCTCCTTATACAGCTAAAAGCGTTCGGAAGAAAATCAGGTTTTTATTCCAGTGCCAGTAAAGGAAGGCGTCCATTATAGACTAAATATAATTCTTCATTTTTGTCCATTTTTTAATCTAATGGGCTGATAGAGCCCTCATTTCACTGCCCTAGCTAAGGTTAAAACTAATTACAATTTTTATTTTTAAATTCCTTCTTTCCATCTCAATATTGAATCCCCTTACCACGACTGCTGCAACCAACTTTCACCGTTATGGAGGGCAGCGAATGAACAGATAATGGAACAGCAAACACAAGAAAGCAAAATCTCAAAAAGTAGCTCTAAAAGGATCAAAAAGTGAGAAAATGAAAACAATGAAACTAATAAAAAACTTCAATATGCCACAATCAAACCATCGAACTGGAAATTAAGAAACACACATCGTAGCGTCTGCGCCATGGGCGCTTAACAATCTTTTGACACTATCCACCAATAAATCAGCTGTAATATATATTGCTATGCAACAAAAGTAAACCAGATCTATAGTGAATTCTGCAGAAAAGCCACGAAATAAGTGAACACTTACTTATCAAGCTAGAAAATGTTCTAGCTGCCTATGTTATCAAGCTAGAAAATTGTTCAGACACTATTTCAATTTTACACAATTTAGCTAGCAGAATCATTGAATCATTTGATAGCTGATAAAACCATACGTATATTTGAGCTGATTTTTGTTTAAATAACTTGAAATAACATAGTTTCGTCTTTCATAGTCAAATGAGCTGAACATGTAACAACACAGCCAACAGAAAGTTGGAAAACAGTGACTGAATGCAAGAAAACCGAAAAAACCGACTTTTTTACACAGAGGCCAAGCTGCGCTTCACAAACACAAGCGGAAATACGACAAAAAGTAGCTTTTCAAAGTGAAATGAGAAAAGATAGAAACAAGTTTTGCTCGAGTTTTGCTACGTATGGGCTTCGAACGTGCGACTTCGAGAATTGGAATCTCACACCCTGCCCTCTAAGCTACGAAAGCTTAACAACCGGCAAACACTAGGCACAACTACATATGCTAACAAATTACCAAAGCTATGCAGCAAAGGTGGCAACAAAGAAAAATAGACATAATTTTGCAAGTAATAGTTTGGAATATAACAAACTGAAGCTTTCCACACTAATTTTGCATGTAATAAATTGGAAAGCATAAAGCCACATTATAAATAAATTATGCATTTCAAAAAACTGCGAGATATGTTGAATAAGAAAATTTTTGAAATCGAGTTTTTTTATTGTTAATTTTTTTTTTTGAAACAATTGACTTTTTCGGTTCATTTGATTAAATTATACAGAGGCGAACCTGTAAAAGCAAAAATATGACCGATAACAAAGCTGGGAAAAACTTAATGAGTATAACTTAGAGCCTACAAAATTTCTTAAGTGACGGACGTCAATTATGAGTCTACATAATTGCTAAGTGACGCAAGGCAATTATGACGCATTAGCAATACCAGTCAATTTGAAAAAAAAAAAGAAATTCGCCAACTAACATGCTTCAGTTTATAGACCGGACGCATTTTAACTCTTATACGAAAAAGTTCCGAAAACATCCGACCCTCCCAGGTTAGAACCCTCGTACTTTGTTGCGGGTCTCCGCTACGCTATAGATCCATGATACCTTGAAGCTAAAGTGCTATTTGTGATATAATAGTCTATGTTCATATCCTTAGCATTGGCTGAACTTAAAAGCTGGTTATTGATCAAAATGAAATCTTTCAAAATGAACACATTTTGTCGCAACAACATTTGCGACTCAGGTTGGAAAAAAGAGAGTTCATACTATAATACAAGCTTTTCGTGTGTAAAAATGTGTCAACTGTGTTAGCTTATAAATATTCGAATGTCAAAGCACATGCTATCAAAAAGCCGTAAAGGTGCCCCAAAAGTGGCACCAATATTTGCTACTTAGGTTTTTAAAAAAATAGTCGTAGTATAACACTGACGCTCACTAAAGTTCGCTAGTAAAAATATACCACTCGAATTTCAAAGCAATGTTTTTTAAGGGTCAAGAAGTTTATTTTCGCTTTCATTATTGCAGATCATAATTTCCCTTCCTTTAAACAAATTTGAAGTGAATTAAAAACTTTTGAACTGAATTAAGAACTCTGAAGTGAACAGTTTGAAGTGAACTTACAAATAAATCAAAATCCAAACCGCAAAAGATTAAACTTGGCGTGAATAAGTTTTGACACTTTTTCCTGAAAATCAAAACGACCAACAATACGTTCAATGGCACTTATAACACGCAAAAAAAAACTTCAAAAAAATTGCAAGGTAAAACTCTCGAGATAATTCTAAAGCAAAAGTTCTTTTATAAGAAAAAACTTTGCAGACCCTGAGAATCGATCGCCAGCGCCTTGCACAAAAATTACCGTTTCATATGGTATAATTAAGCTTGAGGTCTTATTAATTTACACGCGCCCTGAGGATTTCATGATTAGGCAATCAAACCTTTGTATGCCTGAAAAGCAAGTCGCCAAATTTGAAGCCAACGCATTATAACAGTATCTTATAACCCAGTTCTGAAAACAAACATTCGTTTTATATGCCATTTCCTTCGTATTATTTTTTTTCTCAATTAATTATGAATGCTAAAAATCACCCATAATTATATTCAGAGAACCGAGAAACTTTGAACCGCTGCTTGTGAAAAAAGAAAGTCCTCGATTGATATTATTTCCTAATTGTAGTAACCATACTCATTCAAGTCATTAGTTTAGATGCTTCTTATTATTACATTGACAACATAGATTTCACTTACTTACCCTGATGCGAAACTGGTTGTTAGATATAAAACTGCAACCCTTTCAAGCATTTTAAGTTTTCTCTGATAGTATGACGAAAAAAACGTTCAGCATAATTTGAATTCAGACGGTACGGGAGGGGGGGGGGGGCATTAAAGCAAATGAATCAAAACCAGACAGCCGATACAGAAGTCTTAATGTCATCACTAGTTTCTTGTTTCTTCTTAGTCTTCAGACTCGCCTCTCCGTGCTTCACAGCTTTTCTACACTGATCCCTTTTAGACTGTTTTGCACTTTGGCGCTGCAATCTCTGCTTTATTACACTGGGTGGAATCGTGGTCGACACATAAGCTGAACTTGCTTTGGACCGATTAGACCTTTGACCTATGGACCCAGATTCGCTGTCCAACCTCAACCTAGACATCAAATCTCTGCCCACTTCCTCATTTAAGTCACGCGCTTTATCTGATGTGTTAGGATAAATTCGTTCATAATTTTCTTCTAGCTCAGCTTCTAATTGTTGTTGGTCAACGTCTGCGGATGTAATTTTTTCAACAACTTCCGCAGAGGCTCGGTTCTCGGAGATTTCACTGATTTTCCTGCCTTCCTTTTCATTTATATGTTCAGTTATTATGACATCATTTTCGCTATTAATTACTTCAGTTTCATTCACTGGGGTTTCTGAGACCGTTTCTAGTGCATTTTGTCTTTTTTGAGACGAATCAGAACCACTGTTTGAATCATTTTCTGATTCGCTACAACTGCTCTCGTCGCTATCTCGATTCTGATTGGCTGTTAGCAACTCATTGCACTCGTCCTCAACTTCGGCCGAAAACCCGCTAGCTTTCACATCTTCGTCTAAACTGCTCAACTTTTCAATTTCGGCTAGAGTCGGCAAGTCTCCCTCGGGCACAAAATCGTATCTTCGTTTGAAAAAAGTGGTGAGGCAGTATTTGTCTCGGTTGAACAGTGTCTCTGCGTTTATGTGTGAGGTTGAGATCATCTGAGGGAAATCGATGACGGACACTTTGTAGTCTTCAGAGAGCATGACGTTGAACTCGTTCAAGTCTCCGTGAATGAGTCCCACTGAAGCTAGCCTGATTAGCACATTCATCAACTCAGTGAACACTCGAGCTGGGTCAGCAAGTTTGTACACCTAAATGTATACAAAACCTACAATTATTTAAATTCGCGCCTGCATGCGTTCTACATTAAACAAATAATGTGCGGTTTACAATAAACAAAAAATTGCACTGGGTCCTACACAATGCAGGACCAACCATGGGGGATGATGGATGCCATCCATTCGCCGTAGCCCTTCTCACCTGGAGGAGGCGGATGACACTGGGACCTCTTCAACCTATGAGATCCCACCCCCTCGCCACCTGTTGTTCAGTGCGTAAGTACATTACACTAACAAATATTTAACTGTATACTACTGTTGCATGATGTGTTTTTCTTCACAGTTAAGGGTAATTTTCAGCTGGCTGACCTGGTTGAGTACATAGCCCGGACAGAGTCCCATGACGACCACGTGTCTGCAAGTGTCTATCGGATTGGGCACGGGGAAGTCATTTTTGTGCAAGGCAGACATGAATGCGAACTCCTTGGTGGCAGCCAGTCTCGACAGGTAGATCCAACTCACCTTCCGTCCCCTCTTCTGGTAGTCCCGCTTTTCCTTAACTTTGCGGAACGAAGTGCGACCCAGTCGGTGCAATTTGATCACACACTCCTCTCCTGAACAGAACAGACTTGTCAATTAGTTCAATGCTTTCACTCACTTGTTCACTCTCTAAGGCGGCTATTGTCTTCCATGTGTTTCGGAATACCTTTGTGAGATCATATTGAAACAAGATTAGTGGATATTTTCTTTACAATTATTTCTAGCTATATTGCATAATATGCGCCCGTGATCTATTTGCTAAATATGGCATTCGGAATCACGCATAAAATAGATGCCCTATTTTGTTGTATTCAACCATGGCAAACACAATGAAAAAAAGTAGGTTACGAAGACCTGAACAGCAGCCTCTCATCTAATTCAATAAATAGCATTGCACGCTAGCACAAAGATAATGAGAAGGAAGCCAATAGGTCGGAAAAAAATCGGAAACAACGTCTACACAGACAAGTTTTCGCAAACACAAGCAAGAAAACCACCATGAACGCAAGTAAACCGCAAAAAAAATAACAGTCACTTGTTTTTTTTTTTCAAATCTCAACTTTCGAATTTCGAAGAAAAAATATATGGCTTAAAGATCTGAAACAAATTATTGACAATTTTTGCACAATATTGACCCAATTCGAGAAACCTGGATTAGCATGTAATTTTTTTATTCCACTGGGAAATCTAAAAATTAAATTCCACTTCCAGAAATTGAACGATAAAGAAAAATTTTAAATCTGCTTTTTGAGTTTAAAAGCAACAAATGCAAAAAAAGTATTATTTTTAATTAAGTTATTTTTTTTCTGAAATTATTTGCTTTTATCATTTAAACTTCTCGGCTTACGTAACCGTTGTCAAAACATTCTGGACTAGAGCAACAGGTAATCCTTGTTTTTGATATAATATAGATTCACAAATTATGCATCTCAAAACATTTTGCAACTACCTCGTCTCACATTTTTTTCTGCAATATAAATAAAACTTGCGTGAATCGCACCTCCGGTGCTTTGAACTTTCAACAACTCATAAAAACCGCATATATTGGTAATAAGATCTGCATCCTTTGAGTGTACTCTGACAGCATCCAACTACAGGGTTGAGAATTTAAAAATTAAAACTTCTAAAAAATGTTTTGAAAAAACCATAAAAAACAGAAGGTCATAACTCGAAAAGTAACAAGATTTGAGCAGTCATATTTGGAGACAAGATTCGCAACCCCTGAGAGTACTCTGACAGCCCCAAACTACGGAGTAAGGAATTTCAAATTTTGAAGAAAAAAAATAAATTATTTAACACTTTGCAAAAAAACTACAAAAAACGTCAATTCTGGAAAAACTACAAAAATTTCAAATTTGTCAAGTTTTTTGTAATTTGAGTGTTCTAAAATTTTTTGAAAAAATAAAAATCGTCCTATCTCGTACACATAAAGAATTTGGGCATTCATAATTGGAGGCCAAATTCGCAACCTGACAGCATCCCACTATTGGGCTGCTTATTCTAATCTCGGTGAAATAAACCAAACTGGAACATCGAAAAACAATTCTTAACCATTGCAAAATACGATATGGCTTAAGCTTGAAAAAATTCTTTTGTTAAACATGCAAAAAATATTATGTTGAAAAAGCTTAAACGTGGCCAGATAGTGAAGCCCGCATTCAACTATATAATAGATGGATAGATTGGCCATACCAATGAGCGAAATAGTTTTTTAACCAAAAGCGAAGCTGAAACAATTGTAGCTAATACACCACTCGAAGTTCTATTTCAGAAAAAACCAAAAGGTGGTGTTGTTAAGTACATCCCACCAACCGTTTCCGTCCAGTGCCAGATAGATATCCGACTCCTTTCCCACACCGATCTGGTTTCCCACACTTGACAATATATCTCTACTAGCGAGAGACCTCAACGCTAGGAAATCATAGCCCAGATTAGTGAGTCTGTAGCCCTGGACATTGCGCCACGTCTCGTAAGCCACCAGTCTGTTCTTGGCCAGGTCCCGCAACATTTTGTGAGCTCCTCCATGTCTGAGGTTGACGATGACTGCCACTAGACGATGTGGGACCAAGTCGTGGTTGCGCATTCCCAGTTCCACAGCAGTTAGAACTCGGAACTGCTCCGAAGTCATGTACTTGAGCAGAGATATATCAAAGCGACCCATACTACTGAATGTATTGCGATTACTACACACTCATCAACTGAAAAACAGCAAAACTGCTAAAGCTAAACATTCTTAGATGCTGACTATAATAATCATCATTGATAATTAGCATTAACAATACTCATGTGCGCTTATCAAAACAGGCGTATGGTTGAGAAAACCGTCCCCTCTTCTGGTAGTCCCGCTTTTCCTTAACTTTGCGGAACGAAGTGCGACCCAGTCGGTGCAATTTGATCACACACTCCTCTCCTGAACAGAACAGACTTGTCAATTAGTTCAATGCTTTCACTCACTTGTTCACTCTCTAAGGCGGCTATTGTCTTCCATGTGTTTCGGAATACCTTTGTGAGATCATATTGAAACAAGATTAGTGGATATTTTCTTTACAATTATTTCTAGCTATATTGCATAATATGCGCCCGTGATCTATTTGCTAAATATGGCATTCGGAATCACGCATAAAATAGATGCCCTATTTTATTGTATTCAACCATGGCAAACACAATGAAAAAAAGTAGGTTACGAAGACCTGAACAGCAGCCTCTCATCTAATTCAATAAATAGCATTGCACGCTAGCACAAAGATAATGAGAAGGAAGCCAATAGGTCGGAAAAAAAATCGGAAACAACGTCTACACAGACAAGTTTTCGCAAACACAAGCAAGAAAACCACCATGAACGCAAGTAAACCGCAAAAAAAATAACACTCACTTGTTTTTTTTTCAAATCTCAACTTTCGAAGAAAAAATATATGGCTTAAAGATCTGAAACAAATTATGATTGACAATTTTTGCACAATATTGACCCAATTCGAGAAACCTGGATTAGCATGTAAATTTTTTATTCCGCTGGGAAATCTAAAAATTAAATTCCACTTTCAGAAATTGAACGATAAAGAAAAATACTATTTATGAAAATTTTTAAATCTGCTTTTTGAGTTTAAAAGCAACAAATGCAAAAAAAGTATTATTTTTAATTAAGTTATTTTTTTTCTGAAATTATTTGCTTTTATCATTTAAACTTCTCGGCTTACGTAACCGTTGTCAAAACATTCTGGACTAGAGCAACAGGTAATCCTTGTTTTTGATATAATATAGATTCACAAATTATGCATCTCAAAACATTTTGCAACTACCTCGTCTCACATTTTTTTCTGCAATATAAATAAAACTTGCGTGAATCGCACCTCCGGTGCTTTGAACTTTCAACAACTCATAAAAACCGCATATATTGGTAATAAGATCTGCATCCTTTGAGTGTACTCTGACAGCATCCAACTACAGGGTTGAGAATTTAAAAATTAAAACTTCTAAAAAATGTTTTGAAAAAACCATAAAAAACAGAAGGTCATAACTCGAAAAGTAACAAGATTTGAGCAGTCATATTTGGAGACAAGATTCGCAACCCCTGAGAGTACTCTGACAGCCCCAAACTACGGAGTAAGGAATTTCAAATTTTGAAGAAAAAAAATAAATTATTTAACACTTTGCAAAAAAACTACAAAAAACGTCAATTCTGGAAAAACTACAAAAATTTCAAATTTGTCAAGTTTTTTGTAATTTGAGTGTTCTAAAATTTTTTGAAAAAATAAAAATCGTCCTATCTCGTACACATAAAGAATTTGGGCATTCATAATTGGAGGCCAAATTCGCAACCTGACAGCATCCCACTATTGGGCTGCTTATTCTAATCTCGGTGAAATAAACCAAACTGGAACATCGAAAAACAATTCTTAACCATTGCAAAATACGATATGGCTTAAGCTTGAAAAAATTCTTTTGTTAAACATGCAAAAAATATTATGTTGAAAAAGCTTAAACGTGGCCAGATAGTGAAGCCCGCATTCAACTATATAATAGATGGATAGATTGGCCAAACCAATGAGCGAAATAGTTTTTTAACCAAAAGCGAAGCTGAAACAATTGTAGCTAATACATCACTCGAAGTTCTATTTCAGAAAAAACCAAAAGGTGGTGTTGTTAAGTACATCCCACCAACCGTTTCCGTCCAGTGCCAGATAGATATCCGACTCCTTTCCCACACCGATCTGGTTTCCCACACTTGACAACATATCTCTACTAGCGAGAGACCTCAACGCTAGGAAATCATAGCCCAGATTAGTGAGTCTGTAGCCCTGGACATTGCGCCACGTCTCGTAAGCCACCAGTCTGTTCTTGGCCAGGTCCCGCAACACTTTGTGAGCTCCTCCATGTCTGAGGTTAGCGATGACTGCCACTAGACGATGTGGGACCAAGTCGTGGTTGCGCATTCCCAGTTCCACAGCAGTTAGAACTCGGAACTGCTCCGAAGTCATGTACTTGAGCAGAGATATATCAAAGCGACCCATACTACTGAATGTATTGCGATTACTACGCACTCATCAACTGAAAAACAGCAAAACTGCTAAAGCTAAACATTCTTAGATGCTGACTATAATAATCATCATTGATAATTAGCATCAACAATACTCATGTGCGCTTATCAAAACAGGCGTATGGTTGAGAAAACAAAACATTCTCAGCGCCTTAGTTTGAACTTAAATTATTAAAATCGCCAATTGAAAAAACCGTTGAAAAACCACCAATTACTCGGTTATAAATAGAGCATCCAGCAAGTACGGCACGTGTGATGTGCATTCACGCGATTTGAGAGACTCAATACCAAAGTGATTCTACAGAAGCGAATAAGTGGCTCTCCGCGAAGAGAACTTGTCTCTCGCACCATATTCGAGTATATTTTTTACATACTATGTCTATTTCAATCCACCTCTAGCCACTCAAAATCTCAGTTGTTCAATTCTTTGAACTTCTAAATTATCATAAAACACGAAACAAAGTCTGTGTATCAAAACAAGAAGTGCTTACAGGCGTTACACGCTGTAGCATAAAACAATCATTGATCAAAAAATTACTTATGCTCGAATCTTTCTTTCACCATTTGACGGTATTGTCGTAAAGAGTAGCCATCAACTTTCATCCATGGAACAACAAATTGGCCGCATTCGTCTTCAATTTCTGCTAATTTCTTTTCTATTTCCTGCAAATGCTTAGCGCATTTTCCTCTAGCTTCGCTAGTTTTAAATTTAGTCAACTGTTTTTCGTTTTTCATCACAATATCTTCGCAAAGATGTGGAAAATCTTTCATCGCATTTTCAGTTTCTGCGCTGGATTTCACACTTTTATGTAAACTCAGTTTTTGCCGATCTAGTGACTCTTTTAAAGCAATTTTCTTTTCAACTGCTGTCAAAATTTGATCATCGCGCACAGCTGAGCTAAGTCCCAAAACCCGTTTCATTTCTTTCCTGAATTCGAAGTTTGTTCTTTCGTCTCCTGGATTTTTCAAGGCATTGCATACTATATCAATACTAGATTGGTCTAAAAGTTCTGTTTTCAGACAAGCTGTGTCATTTTTAATTCTGTCAGGTAGGTTAGAAAAATCTTCTGCTATTTCCAGAGAGGGCAGGAGACTGTTGTTGATTAGATCTACGTTTTCTTGTTGGATTTTCTGAATTGAGCCATTTGACTGGTATACTTCAGTGAATAGTGACTGCAGTTTCTGTTGATTTTCAATTGCTTCCAACTCCAGATTCTCTATTTCTGCAAGAACATCCGCTGATTTCTGAGACTCCATCACTAAAACATTCCAAGGTACACCCATCTTTTGAATACATTTTAACTTTCAAGGATAACTTGAAAACCCAGTTAGTTAGGGTTTCAAAACAATAACTTGGAAAAAAAAACATTATGAAACTTCACGACTGATTATTAAAAAACTCCAGGAAAAAATCAAAATGTTTTAAGCAAAGAGATCATGGCCAAAATTTCATAAGACAAAGAAAAAATGGGAACAACTCCTCCATATTTTTAGTCAGCATACGACGTCCAGTAATTTCTGGAAAGTAATAAGGTCATGAAGTAATCAGTAAATAGCAGCAAGTCTGGTAGGAACCCACCCAATTAGTTTTAAGGACTAGAAACTTTCTCAGCCGGAAGAATGGCAAATGCTTTGAACGTGCAATATATTAAGCAAGACTGCTCGCATATCAGGGTAAGGCCCTGAATGTTCCGACAGTCCCTTAATTCATATCAAATAGCTTTTGGGAAAAGAAAATATTGAAAACCTATCCATTTTGGTCGTACAATGAGTCGTACAAAATTTTTACGGCCAATTAGCTTGCCTCATCTCTATTTGGAACGATTTTGTTTTGCGGGATAATTCGACACGCATAAATAATTTGCGTTACGCTCTCAGCATTATGAATAAACTCTAAAAAGCGCGCATAAGTTTGTCCAAAACATGGCAAATTTGGCAATTTTTCAAACCCCCAGAACTTTACAAAAAAAATCGGAGGTGAAATAACTTTTTTTATTTGAACTCAGAAAGTCTATATCTTCGATGGGGTTTAAAAATTTTGTTGAAAACTATTATTTCGATTGGTGAAAAGTGACTGAAAAAAAAACACACCGAGCATAAATATTCCGTTTTCTTCGAAAGTCGGAACAATAAAAAAACCCATACAGATGATAAAGCTCAAAGAGTAACTAAGACAAAAGCCCTTAAACTTAGATTCGAAGGCTTATTAAGCTTTATCCCTCTGGAAACTGAAAAAAAAACATCAAAGCGAAAAAGCCCTCGAAAGCATTAGAACCGAAACGCATTAGAACCGAAACGCATTAGAACCGAAACGCATTAGAACCGAATGGTCAATGCACAGTCCACCTTAAACCTATACGACCAATAGCAATAGCATTTTAAGCAAAAACTTAATATTTCGCTTTACACAAAAGTACTAAAAATTGGAAAAAAAATCTGAAGTGGTAACCCTACCCAAACCAATCAAAGATCTCCTATCTTCAGACTCGTACCACCCGGTGTCTATTTCAGGCCCAGCTGTCAAAATTTTAGATTCTTTGATCCATTCCACGCTAATCAAAGCCTTTCCAACCACCACAGTACTTTCCACTCTTCAATTTTTCATCAGCGACGGTTTTACCCCAAATATGAGAATCCTGGCCACACTTGATTTCTCAAAAGCTTTTGGCATGGTCAGCCATTGCACCCTCGTGGAGCTCCTTCATGACACCAGCGCACTGGAAAGCCTAATTCAGTGGTTGTGAAACTACCTGAGATGGCGTCAATCAAAAACTATGTTCACATGTATGCTCTGTCAATATTTAGCACTGCTCGTACAGGCTTCCCTCAAGGCTGGCTTATCCCCAACACTTTATTTCACGTCCATCACGCTCCACTTCCGCCCGACGATATAAAACAGCAGTCTTACTCGAACGAATTCAACCCTGTTGTCCTTTCCAGCAAAATTTCAACAGCCTCGTCAATCTTATTCAGTTATCTAACTAACTAACAAAAATTATTTACCTCACGGTTCCTTTAAAGCTTCGGCCAGGCTGCTTTCTTCATTTAAATGAAGATTTTCACACCGTCCCGAATATGGAAAAGAACACCGCTAGACTGTCCCTAGTGAGAAACATCTCAACAAACTTGGTGCTTTCTTTGACTAGTCCCTACATTTCGCAGAAATTGCAGGCGAATATCCTCAGAAACTTTTGAAAAACTTTTTGAAGCTTTGTTAAGGCCAACTTTAGATTATGCGAACCCTGCCTGGTCCCACGCTGCCAATAAAACAAACTGCAAACAGTTCGAAATGGACAACCACCATCATCTACTGGGATGGCATTTCGCACTAAAATTTAACACTGTTACACCTTTCAAAAAATTTAGTGAACGATGTTCTGTATCTTTAACAATTTTAAATAGCTTCAAAAACAATTACACTGTTTTAGAATTAGACAGGCCATTTCAGATGCACCACAGGCAAAGTTCTGTCCATCAGACCATCTAAATCTCCCCCGCCGAAGAATCCCTCCCTTGTTCCACTGGGCACCACTTGCGATACAAACAAACATTACAAACTAGCCAAAAGACATTAAAACGGAAGCTGCAAAGTAAAAAAAAACAAATCCAACAGACAGTTGAAAGAGTCAATGAACGCAAGCAAGCGAATTGACAAAACCCTATCATATATCCCCATCTAAACCCTATAAGAAAAATAAGAAACTCACAGTTGATGGCGTTGTTGCGTTCCAACGACTTCATTTCCTGGTCCAGCAGAAACTTCTCTGCCTTGAAGAAGCTCTCTGACGCTCTCAGCTCTAACCACTCCTTGAACAGTCCAGCGAATACTGGGTCCGAAGTTAAGTCGGGACTCGAGCTGATGGCCGACTTCAGACTTTCTAGTTCTTCTAGAACACAACAGGCTTTGTTATAACTACACGCTACCGCAACTCTTGTCAAAATGATGACACTAAGTCATTAGATTGGTTTTCTCAAAGCTTTTTATGCCAGCCAGACAACCACCAAAAAAAGGATACCTTTCTCGACCTGCGCTCCCACTTTAAATTATTTAACGAGTGCGAAAACGAGCGAGAACGAAAAAGAGTTTAAAACTAAAAATAGCCAACAGACAGGTGGAAAAGAGACAATGAACGCGAGTAAACAGAAAAAACAAACACTGCCTTGTTTTTCGGAAAAATCTTAACTTTCGCATTTCCAAGAAAAATCACAGAAGATCACAGCAACTTAATGACAACATCCTCTAACTCCAATCTTCAACTCTCAACAATTAAATTCAACTTACTCAATTTGTCATAATAACTCTCACGAAATTGCCATTCTTCAACCAACACCGTTTTATTCCTGCGCTGACAGTCATTCAATTCGCGATCAAGTTCTTCCATTTTTGACAAGCCAGTACCACCTCCCGACTTTATCTTCCCAGAAACTGCACTCGAATGAGATCGAGGCGATGACGTCACAACTTGATCTCCAGCCATAATCTCCGATGACATAATATCCGGTGTTTTCGAGGGCGACATGCTAGAATTAAGCTCACATTTTAATTCCACTTTTGACTTGTAAGTTTCGATTTCCTTCTGTAATTTCACCACGCTTTTTTCAGCCTCTGCAATTATTTGCTCAAACGTTTTACTATAACCTTTGTATGACTGGAGTTTATTCATTTGCAACACGGAGTCGCCTATTTCATTGAGTGACTCTTGAATTTCGTCCAGCGTACGTTCTGTTAATACTTTCTTTGTAGATTGGTAAGTGAGCTGATTGCGCAATCCGTCCAGTACTTCGTACTCGGATTTCTTGAAAAACTTCTGAAAAGGTAGTTCAGATTGTTGTCGAGCGGGCTCATCCTTGTTCAGTTCTGTTTTCACTTCAGCGAGCCTTTCAGGCAACTCTTGATTCATTATTTCAATCTAAAAAATTAACGCGTTCATTCAGCTGGAGATTTTCTTACTCGTTTTGAGAACAGATTTACTACACATCACGGAATTTACTACTATATAGAGTTTCAAAGCTGGCGAACCAAAGAGACTCGCTGAAAGAGCAGAGTTCAATACGCAATGAAAATTAGCCCTTCAGAAAAGCAAATTATAGTTTTTACCCTTTTCTGGTTCCAATCACAAGATGATTGGTGTCCGAATACACATCCAAAACTTCTTTCAAACCGTAGATTTATTTAGCAGCTACTTCAGACTAAAAACAGAATCAAAATACAATACAATTTATCAATTCATTAATAAATAACACGATTTTAGCATCAAAACGCTTCAGTTTTCAACCAATTTTCAAATCAGGTGGCACCGTTTTCAATTCTTCCGCTTCGTCGTTTAGGGCATCTATTTTCTCATTTAACACCATTTGCGCTCCCTGGATCAAACTTTTACAGCCTGTGAAAGAAATGGAGCCTTCAAGTTTGCTCATCAATGTTTTAGGCTCTGCAGTCGCAATGCAAGCCAGCGTCTTAAAACCAGCATTGTAAAGTTGCTTTGCGCGGCCATATTTGACCTGAGGAATTTCCAGCAGAACGTGTAACTCTTGACTAAATGTAAAATTAAGTTTCTTTTGAATTATTTGCAACAGCTCGGTCAAGGCCCAAAACTCGCTGAGATTTTTGCAAAATTGGCTCAAGTGAAAACAAAAACTGGACGATGAACTTAGTAGATTCTGCACTATGCCTCGTGAAACACTGAACTTTTTTGCAACCTCCCAAATATTTGTCGGGGCAATAAGTTCGTTCAGAATAAGAGCACAATACAGTTTAGACAATACTATATCAGACTTATTCGTGTCGGATCTTGCCATCCCAGTCGCTTTCGAAATCAAACTCAGTTCAGAAATGCCCAAAACACCAGCAAATGAAACTATTTCTTCGCTTAAACTTCCAAATATTTTCAAATAATGATTCCAGTCAATGTCAAAAACCGTTAACAGGCTATCATTTGGGACGCAAATGTATAGTAAATGAATGTACGAATCTACAACTAAATGCTTGGAGGCTTTTTCCAAGTCTTTATAAATAGTTCCAACATAGTCTAAAGGTAACGAGCTTCTGTAGCAAGCGGTTCCAATTTGAGTTATGCTCAACGTTGACAAGCAATCATCAGATTCTTCGTCACTTTTTGTTATTTTCATCAAACCAGAGTCAACTAGTTCTTGTAACAATTTAGACAAATCGATCTTTTTATTTTTCTGTTGTTTTGCAGCTAGAGACGACGACAAAAAAACTTGCACGTCATTTAAGGTTTCGCAGATTTTTAACCCAACTAACGACAATAAAACCTGTTTGAGAACATTCGTATTTTCAGACAGCAGCCCACTCCTGCAGTAGTCAGATTCGGCCCGGACAAGTTTGTCGATTTTGTTTCTGTCAGAACTTTTGTTCACAATTAGAATCGATTCACCCTCAGATGATAAGCCAGTCCTGCCCGCCCGTCCGATCATTTGTCTATACTGGGTGGGGTTGATGAAGTCCCTTCCCACGTAAGGTGACCTGATGATGACCCTTTTGGCCGGTAAATTGACCCCGGCTGCCAAAGTTGACGTGCAGCAGAGCAGACAAAGTGTTCCTAAATCAAAAGGCTGTGTAAACCCGATTTGAACATCGCGATCGATTTAAATTATGAGTACGAACCAATTGAACAAAATCTAAGACACTTTTTTTCAGACTCGTTCTTCTTAATTTAATTGCATGTTTAATGAAAAACTTTGAAATATCAACAAAAACGCAATCGAAAATTTAAAAACTTGAGCGATAAAATTTGGATGAAGTTCCTATCTGCAACCGCTATTAATAACCTAACATCACCCCACCAACGGGTCGACTATTTCAAACTTTGAATTGTTTTTTTTTTTTAATTTAACTTTTGAAAACTTTCAAAAAAGAAAAAACTAACAAATCTAAGAAAATTAAAGGCGTTGAGCAGTCGTATTTGTTTTTTCAGATAAACATTCCTTGAGATTACCTTGAGAGCACCTCGCCATAGTGTTGATTTTTTCAAACTTTGCGAAGTTTTTGAAAATTTTATGAAACCATAACAAACCGCATATCTCAGAAACTAAGATAATTTGAGCAATCAAACTTGGAAAATATTGAAAAAACGTCACATCTCAAAACCAAAAGCAGTTGAGCAGTCATCTTTTTCGGAAAGATTAACAATCTCTGAGAGTACATCGACATCACCTGGCTACAGGGTTGGCCATTTCAGATTTTTTGAAATTTTCTGAATCTATATTTTCAGAAAAATTCTGAAAAAATCATAAAACGCGTCATATCTCAGAATCTAAACATATTTAAGCAACCATATTTGAATGCACAGTTTGAAGCACCTGAAATTACCCTAGCAGACAGAGCCTCGCACTATAGGGTTGAGAATTTCAACTTTTGACAAGTCTTTGTATGTAAGTTCTTTGAATTTTTTGAGAAATCAGAAAAAAAACCTCTTATCTAGGAAATTAAAAGAATTTGCACGGTCACATTTGGAGGTAAGATTTGCATTGCCGGAGAGTACACTGAAAGCACCTAATTACATGGTTGAAAATTTCAAATTTTCTGGAAATTTGTGAATCTAAGTTTTATGAAAACCTTCAAAAAAATCACAAGAATCGTCGTATCTCGTAAACTTAAAAAATTTTGGTACTCATATTGGGAATCCCTGGGGAGCGCTGACAACATCCCACTTTTGGGTTGCTACTTTCATACTTGTCGAAACACTTGTGCAAAAACTCTTTCATTAAACAAGCAAAAATAATACGTTGAAAAAGCTTAAACATGGAGAGATAAAGCTTAAACATGCAAAAATATTACGTTGAAAAAGCTTAAACATGGCGAGATAGTGAAGCATTTAAATATTGAAATATAAAATAGATTCTTCGAAGTTTATGGTTGTGAAATACTTCTTCAAAATTTGTGGTTGTAAAATAATTCTTGGAAGTTCATGATTTTATTCAGATGAGGATAAAATCATCATCTTAGTACAATCATTAAGCAAAGAGAGTGTAAATCGAGTAACCTTGTAAATATGCATCTTCAATTGCCTTTCTTTCGTCCATCGTCAGTCCCGAGTGATGATATGCGACTCCATACGGGATACAGAACTGGAGCACCGGACACAGATTACCCTCAGCGTCACTCTGCAACTCCGCCAGCAGTGCCTCGCGATTCTCCAGCTCCACCGACTTCAAAGCGGGAGGCATGAAACTACACACTAACGAAGCCACATTCTCACAGTTCTTCTTACTCGCGCAAAACACTAGACACGAATTGTGAGGAATAACTTCACTGCATAGTCCCACAATGTGATCAGGATCTTTGAATGTCTGCTCTTTAGTGTAATTAAACGTAACTGTTCGGTCCATTTTGAACAAACTCTCTTCAAAATTACAATTGGCACCGGTGTTCACAGTGAAAACTGCGTCTGCAAACTTAACCATTTGTTTCAGTTCAACCGGTCTGAAATTATTAGTGTAAACTTCAGCATTCAAAAAAATTCCGATTTCCTGTATATTTTTTAATGTAGCCGACATGCCTATAATTTGAGTTGACCTCGAAACGTGCATAATTTTACAAAGCATAACTTCCAATCCTGTTCCGCGATTTGAAGACGAACTGTGATCCCTTTCTCCTAACATGTGAAGTTCGTCTATAACAATTAACCCTATCGATTCTAGACCATTTGACTCAATCAAACTGTTGAGCATAATGTGAATCTTTTCAATTGTTCCCAAAAATATGGTCTTTTTGCTTTTTTTCCGCGGCGGAATAGACCCCTTGCTACCTGCGTACTCTTCAACAGCAAACCCGAGCTCATTCGCGAAAGGTATGAATCCTTTCAACTTTTCTTGCACAATCGATACAAAAGGAAACACAAAAATTGCATCTTTTTCATTAACGATAACTTCCTTAAGCAATAGAATTTCAGCTACCAATGTTTTACCTCCGCTAGTTGGCAGCGAGTAAATCAAATTTCGCCTCTGATTCAAAGACCCCAATTTAAGACACTCAATTTGCCAGTCGAAAAGCTTCTTTATCTTTCTTGTTTCTTCGAAGATTTTTTTAGCCGTCAGCGGTAATCCGTAGAAACTATCAGCGCTCTCTGTATCAAAATTCAAACCATCTTTTTGCAAATTGGAATCAAATTCAATAGCAGAAGATTCAACTGAACTAACATTTGCCCGTTTCGAACCAATTATTGGCGACTTAGATAGCGAGTCTGAATTCACTTTGAGACGTTTTCGTATACTTTTAGTCAAGTTTCCTGGAGTTCCAGCACCTGACTCTTCGATATCTTTTCCCGAAGTTCCCATAACTGAGGGTGATCTTAACAGATACGGACTTTTCTGTGACCGTTTGCGGGTCTTAGATGTCAACGGCGTCGACGTTCTTCTCGCCACAGCTTTCGATTTGATTTCATTTTCTGCTATTTGCACTCCTTCTGATGTTTTGTTCAACACTGTCATGTTCAAATCGAATAAACTGTCAGACAGAACTTCATTTTTATCTTCAGTATCTTCCCCATTTTTCTCGACAGTGGAAACATTGGTTAAATTTGTCTCCAATTCTCCTATCTCCGGATTGACTTTTGAGCCCTGATAGATCAAATGAGAATCCGATCCTCTTGATAAAATGTCTTGGCTCTCTTCAACAATCTCTCTCAACTCATCACGAGTTTCTACTTTTGATTTACATCTTGACTTGCGCATTCACAAACTCTTTCATCAATATCTGGAATCAATCACAATAATCTTTCTTTTTTCAGAGCATTTTCAACTCCTGTTCAAGTTAGGCGACAAGTGTTTTCAACCTTTGATCTTCTCTAGATTTCTAAATCCTCGGCCAACAGAAATATAGTCGTGAAACATCATACTTCTCAAGTTGATAAACTTAATATGATCTTGGTAAACTAAATCTGAGAAAAACTGATTGAAAATCAAATCAATTCAGTACTTTGATACAAAATCAGCAATAGCATTTATAAAACAATATGTCGAATATAGTTTAAAATTTTTTAAATTTTACACCACAAAAATGGCAGTTGCATCACGATAGACGACATCTAAGCACATTCAGATCTGAACAAGAATGCGCTCGAAGCTCCCCATTATTGAAAAAAAAAACATGTTAGAAAAAAGAAAATCCGGTTTCAAATTATAGTCATTTTCTGCGCGTAGTGTGCTGAGAGAACCACTTGAACGCATAGAATGCTGAAGAAGTAGACATAATTGACAACAATGGTCTTCAAATAATGAATTGAAGTAAAAAAAGAATTATTCAATTACACCTTGATAGGACCGATCTCACAGCATTTCACTTGAAACACATTTATTAAACAGTGTGCTTCAAGTGACAGGTTGTGCGATCGGTCCTGTCAAAGGTTTTTAGAAACCGACTCCGCATAGTATTTTTCATTGGTGCCAGCAGCTTCCTTGTGAATGCATAAAGAGCCGCGACTTACAATTTCGAACACCATTTGAACCCGAGAAAAGTAACAGCAATTACCTGACTAAGCTTCAACAAACGTGTCACAAGCTCTTTGAAAATTGCCTAAAATCTTCTGTTGAAAGGCTATCTTCGAAACAAAAAGAGCATCGTCATCTCGCACGACTATCAACAACTACCGAAACATCGTAGTAACTGCCAATTCTGTCCGGCCTCCGAGCTGATAAACTATAAAACACTTCAAAGCAGGATTATTGCAACTAATATACCTTCAGCGGCAGGATACCCCGAATAATCTTGAAGAAATTAAGAAAACAAAAATTCCTGTTATTCAAGTAGTCAAGCACCTAGCAGAACTAACCCTCTGAAACCCTACACTGGTTGAAACCCTCATATCACACTGGTTGAAACCCTCATATCAGTGCAACCCTGAACAACACGTAAGCTCTAGCTGGTTGAGATCATCTGGAGACACCGAGACAACGCCTCATTTCTTGTAAGGAAGTACACGACAATGTTCTATTTCTCCCTGGTTACGATATTTTGAGAAAAGATTTGTACGCAATCAACGCACAAATCTAAACACGGAGGCGTTTCCGTTGCAATCAAAAGCACCCTCACTTACCCCGAGATACAAACCAGCTTCGAAAAGTGTCTTACTTAAAATAATTGCTGTTTCCTATCTATCTCCGATGCCTGCGTAATAACCCATTTGCAAGCCTATGTCAGAGCTGCTGTCAATTTTTTTTGACTTCTGATCTCATTTTTTGAAAACGAGATCAAGTCGAAAGCTGTGGCGAGAAGAATGTCGACGCCGTTGACATCTAAGTCAAATTCAAAAAGTTTTGAGCAATCCGTGTTTGGAGGTAAGATTTGATACGACTGAGATTAATTGAAATTAAGAAGATTCTTTCAAAACTGTGCTGGAATTATTTCATTATGGCGTCTTACGAAAACGATCTCTGCACTTCTAGAATTGGCTGTTTCTGTGAGAAATGCAGAAAATGTAATAATGTAAACCTCATTTAAAAACTTGAAAAACGTATCATGCTATCTTACCACCGAAAACTAATAAACAGAATATAACCATTCCAGTTAAATTTCAGTCATATGGCGACTTACATTGTTACCTTGGAGCTTTCCTATGTTTTGATTTCACTACTTAAATTACAGTTTTTCACTACTTAAATCTAAAATACTTAATTAATTTCGAGCGAGCTTTATTCGAGGCTCGAACAATTTTTCAAAAATTTAGATGTCATTCGAATCAAAACGAAAAGGGCTTAAATGAAAGATTTCACACGAATCATTCCGATGATTATTTGTGGTGCCTAATCACTTTGCGTGGAAAACAAAAAAACTAGAGCACACTCGAAAAAAAAGCTCCTCCTCAGCTTCATTGTTAGAACAAATTAAGTTCTACGGTTTTCTTCATACAGGGACCAATCACAATGCTCTTGTTTTTTTGAGCTGTACTGTTTATTATCATGGACCTATTTACTACATTTAGATAAAAAAACATCTCTATTGCTTTGAAGCCGTTCCGAATTTGAGCTTGGTCACTCCTTCTTTTGCCTATCACTAAAATAAAAACTCTTACTTAGCTGACAGTTGAAAAAATGTCAATGAATTCAAGAAAACTAAAAAAAAACAATGATTGATTTGTTGTTACAGTTTTCAAAACTTTAGAATTTCGTAGACAAAACTATATCATGTTAAAGCTCTTTGAATTTTGTGAAACTTTCATGATCGACAGTATTTTTCATAAAACTTACTCAATTAGGGAAAACTGTGCGTATACGTTATTTTTCCGTCGTGGAAATTGTGAGAATTTAAAACATCTTTCGAAACAAAGTCATTCTCATTTTCGCACCAACTTCACATTTGTAATTACAGAGCGTGTTTTGCCTTCCTTTAAAAATGAATTTTAGCTAAAAGCAAACAAAAAATAAAACACAGAGGCGAAGCTTGGCTTCGCAAATACTAGAACACAACAAAAATAAGCTCTAGTGAAGGTAATAAGAAAAAGCCTCGAATTAGTAACAATTCGGCTAGGTCTCGGATTCGATCATGCGACCTAGCGATTATGAGTCACGCTCATCACGCTTAATACATCACAAAAACTAGCCACAAAAAAAAGCAGAGTACAGATGCTATGAAATTTCCGATGCTAAAGACAGTGATTATAGCAAAAATGCAACGAAATGAGAAAACCTTTGCCACTTTCAATGAACACTTCAATTTGCGAGTTCGGTTAGAACAAAACAAGGTTCGTAGTAATACACTACGCTGATCGCAAGTGCAAAAAAAAATAAATTAGCGTGTCACGCACCTCCGGCGCTTCGAATTTTTGACAAACCATACAATCGTTATATCTCTGAAACTGAGATTACTTGAGCAGTCAAACTTGGAGGAGAGAATTGCAACATCTGAGAGAACCATGAGGCCACGCCATTATAGGGTTGGGAACTTTTTAAATTCAAGTTCTGAAAAATTTTAAAAAAAACGACATATCTCGGAAACCAAAAACAATTGAGCTGTCACCTTCAATAAGAGTATTTCGCCAACACCTGATTACAGGTTTGGTAACTTCAAAATTTGTCAAACTTTTCAAATCTTAGTTTTCTGAAAAATTTTGAAAAAAAAATGAAAAAACGTTATATATTGGAAACCAAAAAGATTTGAGCAACCGTGCTCGGAGGCAAGATTTGATACGACTGAGAGTACTCTGACAGCACTTCTATGTACGGAGTTTTAAAAAATTTTGGAAAAATCATAAAAACTTCATATTCGGAATCCAAAAAAAATGAGCAATCAAATTAGGAGGCAAGATTCGCAACGGTTGCAAGCACCCTAGACTAGATTTCTCAGAGTTTTGGATTAGTATCATTTCGTGTTGTGCCTGTTTTATCGAATTCAATTCACTCGTTACCATGAAGAATTTTTCATCTAGATTTTCTGCAAGCTCAAGGACATTTTCAGCTATTTGGCTGGCGAAGTCAGAAAGTCTGCCAATGTTTTCAGCATTTCCTTTACCCAAACAGGAACTTGCATCTTCGCGCAAATATACGGCCTCATTCTTTCTTGAACAACAACTAAAATCCAATCTAAGGCAAAAACGAGCACCAGCCTTAGAAATTACAGCCCTAGCATTAGTTGGACTATTCGGAGGTGGAATTATACTAGAAAAAAAACAGCATATTGTGGATTACGAGGAACTTTTTGGATCCTGCAAAGATAAGACTAAAGAAAATACTCAAAACATTGTCAGACTCTCTGACTTCGCCAGCCAAAAAGCTGAAAAGGTCTATACGCTTGCAGAAAATCTAGATGAAAAATTCTTCAGGGTAACGAGTGAATTAAATTCGATAAAACAGGCACAAAACGAAATGATACAAATCCAATATCGAAACTGGGAGGTAATTTAAGAGCACTTCGAAGTTTTCAAACAAAATATTCACATTCTTCGAGACTGATCAACTTCTGTTTACAAGACAGCAGATAAACTTCAATTACGACATGGTCTCCTCACTGCTTGCTATTACGTTTGCAAATGTGAAATCGTACCGATCAGCGCTCTACTCCTATCGCGTTAATATGCTAAATTCGATAACGCCTTTGCTGAATAAATTTCCACCGATGTCGCTAGTGCCCCGAGACTCGCTGACGAAAATTCTGGAAGAAGTTTCCAAACTACAAAACCATGCTCGTGATCGACTTCCTTTGGCCATTCCGATGGACCAAAATTTGTCATACTATGAAGCTCAGCTTCTGACTGACTTGTTGATGAAGATCGCAATTCCACTAGCGTCACGGCAAACATCATTTCAGGTCTTCAATGCAATTCCAGTCCCGATGCCACAGTAGGAGAAGGATAAAGCGATTATGTGAAAAACGGAAGCTCCCTACTTGGCAATATCGTAGGACAATATGGAAACTGTAGTATTAACGGAGTACAATGTAATATACCGTTTCTGGCTATTAATGCTTGATCGATAAGTGTTGCTTTGTAGTCTTGAGTGATGAAGTATGTTGTTATGGATGTGCGGTCTAGGCTAAATATCTTCGACTCAGGGATGTGCTTCGTGATGGCTACCCACCTTCTCTAGAGTCTAAGCTGATCGATTAATAAAAGTGAGCATTAATGTTTCGATTACTATTTTGATCTCCCTGATTGTAATGGCTCTCCAATTCTTCTCATTCTTTCATTCTCCTTATTGTTTGCATTAAGTAAAAATAGATTTAATACTTTATCATTGACGTAACATGTCATTGACACTTT